CAGAGATGTGTACTCACACATAGATGTGTACTCACACAGAGATGCGTAGACACACAGAGATGTGTAGACTCACACAGATGTGTAGACTCACACAGAGATGTGTAGACTCATACAGAGATGTGTAGACTCAGAGATGTGTAGACTCACACAGAGATGCACAGACTCACACAGAGATGCACACTCACACAGAGATGCATAGACTCACATAGAGATGCGTAGACTCACACAGAGATACGTAGACTCATACAGAGATGTGTAGACTCACACAGAGATGCATAGACTCACACAGAGATGTGTAGACTCACACAGATGTGTAGACACAAAGAGAGATGCATAGATTTACAAAAAGATGCCTAGCCTCATACAGAGATGTGTAGACTCACACAGAGATGCATAGACTCACACAGAGATGCCTAGACTCACACAGAGATGCGTAGACTCACACAGAGATGCACAGACTCACACAGAGATGTGTAGACGCAAAGAGAGATGCGTAGACTCACACAGAGATGCGTAGACTCACACAGAGATGCGTAGATTCACACAGAGATGCATAGACTCACACAGATGCGTAGACTCACACAGAGATGCACAGACTCACACAGAGATGTGTAGACGCAAAGAGAGATGCGTAGACTCACACAGAGATGCGTAGACTCACACAGAGATGTGTACTCACACATAGATGTGTACTCACACAGAGATGCGTAGACACACAGAGATGTGTAGACTCACACAGATGTGTAGACTCACACAGAGATGTGTAGACTCATACAGAGATGTGTAGACTCATACAGAGATGTGTAGACTCACACAGAGATGCACAGACTCACACAGAGATGCACACTCACACAGAGATGCATAGACTCACATAGAGATGCGTAGACTCACACAGAGATACGTAGACTCATACAGAGATGTGTAGACTCACACAGAGATGCATAGACTCACACAGAGATGTGTAGACTCACACAGATGTGTAGACACAAAGAGAGATGCATAGATTTACAAAAAGATGCCTAGCCTCATACAGAGATGTGTAGACTCACACAGAGATGCATAGACTCACACAGAGATGCCTAGACTCACACAGAGATGCGTAGACTCACACAGAGATGCACAGACTCACACAGAGATGTGTAGACGCAAAGAGAGATGCGTAGACTCACACAGAGATGCGTAGACTCACACAGAGATGCGTAGATTCACACAGAGATGCATAGACTCACACAGATGCGTAGACTCACACAGAGATGCACAGACTCACACAGAGATGCACACTCACACAGAGATGCATAGACTCACATAGAGATGCGTAGACTCACACAGAGATACGTAGACTCATACAGAGATGTGTAAACTCACACAGAGATGCATAGACTCACACAGAGATGTGTAGACTCACACAGATGTGTAGACACAAAGAGAGATGCATAGATTTACAAAAAGATGCCTAGCCTCATACAGAGATGTGTAGACTCACACAGAGATGCATAGACTCACACAGAGATGCCTAGACTCACACAGAGATGCGTAGACTCACACAGAGATGCACAGACTCACACAGAGATGTGTAGACGCAAAGAGAGATGCGTAGACTCACACAGAGATGCGTAGACTCACACAGAGATGCGTAGATTCACACAGAGATGCATAGACTCACACAGATGCGTAGATTCACACAGAGATGCACAGACTCACACAGAGATGTGTAGACGCAAAGAGAGATGCGTAGACTCACACAGAGATGCGTAGACTCACACAGAGATGCGTAGATTCACACAGAGATGCATAGACTCGCACAAAGGCGTAGACTCACGCAGAGTTGCGTAGACACACACATAGATGCGCAGACTCACACAGAGATGTTTTGACGCAAAGAGAGATGCATAGATTCACAAAAAGATGCCTACTCACACAGAGATGCATAGACTCACACAGAGATGCGTAGACTCACGCAGAGATGCAGACTCACACAGCGATGCACAGACTCACACAGCGATGCACAGACTCACACAGCGATGCATAGACTCACACAGATGCGTAGACTCAGAGATGCATAGACTCACACAGAGATGCATAGACTCACACAGAGATGCATAGGCTCGCACAGATGCGTAGACTCACACAGAGATGTGTAGACTCACACAGAGATGTGTAGACTCACACAGAGATGTGTAGACTCACACAGAGATGTGTAGACTCACACAGAGATGTGTAGACTCACACAGAGATGCACAGACTCACACAGAGATGTGTAGACGCAAAGAGAGATGCATAGATTCACAAAAAGATGCCTAGACTCACACAGAGATGCGTAGACTCACACAGAGATGCGTAGACTCACACAGAGATGCGTAGACTCACACAGAGATGCGTAGACTCACACAGAGATGCATAGACTCACACAGAGATGCACAGACTCACACAGAGATGCACAGACTCACACAGAGATGCACAGACTCACACAGAGATGCGTAGACTCACACAGAGATGCGTAGACTCACACAGAGATGCGTAGACTCACACAGAGATGTGTAGACTCGCACAGAGATGTGTAGACTCGCACAGAGATGTGTAGACTCACACAGAGATGTGTAGACGCAAAGAGAGATGCATAGATTCACAAAAAGATGCCTAAACTCACACAGAGATGCAGACTCACACAGAGATGCACAGACTCACACAGAGATGCACAAACTCACACAGAGATGCGTAGACTCACACAGAGATGCGTAGACTCACAGAGATGTGGACTCACACAGAGATGCGTAGACTCACACAGAGATGCACACTCACACAGAGATGCACAGACTCACACAGAGATGCAGACTCACACAGAGATGCACAGACTCACAGAGATGCGTAGACTCACACAGAGATGCGTAAACTCACACAGAGATGCATAGACTCACACAGAGATGCATAGGCTCGCACAGAGGCGTAGACTCAAACAGATGCGTAGACTCACACAGAGATGTGTAGACTCACACAGAGATGCGTAGACTCACGGAGATGCACAGACTCACACAGAGATGTGTAGACGCAAAGAGAGATGCATAGATTCACAAAAAGATGCCTAGACTCACACAGAGATGCATACTCACACAGAGATGTGTAGACTCACACAGAGATGCAGACTCACACAGAGATGCGTAGACTCACACAGAGATGCGTAGACTCACACAGATGCATAGACTCACACAGAGATGCGTAGACTCACACAGAGATGCATAGACTCACACAGAGATGCATAGACTCACACAGAGATGCATAGACTCACACAGAGATGCGTAGACTCACACAGATGCATAGACTCACATGAAGACCCATAAATTCACAGGGATGCATACAACTCACTCAGGGGCATAAATTCAGAGAGATGCATAGACACACATGAGGACCCATAACACTCAGACACCCACAGACGTACAGAAAGATGCGTAGACTCACAGGGTCGCATACACTCTCACAGAGACCCACATAAGCTCAGAGACCCACAGACTCGCACAGGGAGCCAGATTAATGTGGACTACTTTTCCACTGGCTAGGCGTCTTGGAAGGGGAAACAGTACCCACACTTGACTTCACCACACGTGACCTCGCCACACGTGACCTCGCCACACGTGACCTCGCCACACGTGACCTCGCCACACGTGACCTCACCACACGTGACCTCGCCACACGTGACCTCGCCACACGTGACCTCGCCACACGTGACCTCGCCACACGTGACCTCACCACACGTGACCTCACCACACGTGACCTCACCACACGTGACCTCACCACACGTGACCTCACCACACTTGACCTGCTGCTCAACTAAGTGCGCTGAACCCCTCTCTGCTACTGTATGGACAGTCCAGCCATGCTGCTCATCAGGGTCAACTCAGCCAGAACTGAACACCCGGTCAGGCCTTCCCCTAGGTCAACTCAGCCAGAACTGAACACCCGGTCAGGCCTTCTCCAAGGTCGACTCAGCCAGAACTGAACACTCCGTCAGGCCTTCTCCAAGGTCGACTCAGCCAGAACTGAACACCCGGTCAGGCCTTCTCCAAGGTCGACTCAGCCAGAACGGAACACCTGACCAGGCCTTCTTCAAGTTCAACTCAGCCAGAACTGAACACCCGGCCAGGCCTACCCCTAGGTAAACTCAGCCAGAACTGAACACCCGACCAGGCCTTCCTCAAGGTTGATTCAGCCAGAAGTGACAAACCCCACCCCCACCCACCCCGCCGGCGTGAGTGGCGCTTGCTTTATAATTACCGATAAATTATATCTTAAGAAATATTCATCCCGCGCGGGCCGACAGGCAATTAAGGCTCAGCTCGTTAACGAGTTAAAATATTAATAGGGCCGCCGACGTTCAATAATTAACGAGGATGTAGGCGAGGCCCCCACCGATGCATTGGGCATTAGGGGGGGGGGCGTGGGGGGAGGGCGGATTTTTAGATTCAGGCGCCGCGGTGGTGAGATGTTAACCACCTCGCCTGGTATGCAGGAGGTCGTGGGCTCGATCCCGACAGAGACGAAGAGAGACAAAGAGATTCAGAGAGAGAGATAAAGAGAGAGACAGAGAGAGACAGAGAGAGACAGAGAGAGACAGAGAGAGAGACAAAGAGAGACAGCGAGAGACAGAGAGAAGGATAAAGAGAGAGACAGAGAGAGACAGCGAGGGACAGCGAGAGAGATAAAGAGAGAGAGAGAGACAGCGAGAGAGAGACAGCGAGAGAGACAAATAGAGAGAGACAGCGAGAGACAGAGAGAGGGATAAAGAGAGAGAGAGACAGAGAGAGACAGAGAGAGACAAAGAGATGCAGAGAGAGACAGAGAGAGACAGAGAGAGACAGAGAGAGAGATAAAGAGAGAGAGAGAGACAGCGAGAGACAGCGAGAGAGAGACAGAGAGAGACAGCGAGAGACAGCGAGAGACAGCGAGAGAGACGTGGAGATGCAGAGAGAGATAGAGAGAAGGTTAATCTTGTGATTTAAGTCTCGTACCTTCGTGAGCGCGAGGGACCGGCCTGTGGACTGGGAGAACTCGTGTCCTGCAGCACAAAGACAGCAGACGCAACTTTGTTCTTGTTGTCGTTATAACGCGGAACACACACCCCGTTATAAACACGGAACACACACACACACCCCGTTATAAACATGGAACACCCACCCCGTGATAAACGCGGAACACACACACACCCACCCCGTGATAAACGCGGAACACACACACACACACCCCGTTATAAACGCGGAACACACACACACCCCGTTATAAACGCGGAACACACACACACCGTTATAAACGCGGAACACACACACACACACCGTTATAAACGCGGAACACACACACACCCCGTTATAAACGCGGAACACACCCCGTTATAAACACGTAACACACACACACCCCGTTATAAACGCGGAACACACACACACACACCCCGTTATAAACCCGGAACACACACACACCCCGTTATAAACACGGAACACACACCCCGTTATAAACACGGAACACACACACACCCCGTTATAAACGCAGAACACACACACCCCGTTATAAACGCGGAACACACACACACCCCGTTATAAACCCGGAACACACACACACACCCCGTTATAAACCCGGAACACACACACATACCCCGTTATAAACCCGGAACACACACACACCCCGTTATAAACGTGGAACACACACACACACACCCCGTTATAAACCCGGAACACACACACACACCCCGTTATAAACCCGGAACACACACACACCCCGTTATAAACCCGGAACACACACACACACCCCGTTATAAACCCGGAACACACACACACACCCCGTTATAAACCCGGAACACACACACATACCCCGTTATAAACCCGGAACACACACACACACCGTGATAAACGCGGAACACACACACACACACCCCGTTATAAACGCGGAACACACACACACACACCCCGTTATAAACGCGGAACACACACACACACCCCGTTGTAAACCCGGAACACACACACACACACACACCCCGTTATAAACCCGGAACACACACACACCCCGTTATAACCCGGAACACACACACACCCCGTTATAACGCGGAACACACACACACACACACCCCGTTATAAACGCGGAACACACACACACCGTTATAAACGCGGAACACACACACACACCCCGTTATAAACATGGAACACACACACACCCCGTTATAAACGCGGAACACACACACACACACCCCGTTATAAACGCGGAACACACACACACACCCCGTTATAAACGCGGAACACACACACACACCCCGTTATAAACGCGGAACACACACACACACCCCGTTGTAAACCCGGAACACACACACACACACACCCCGTTATAAACCCGGAACACACACACACCCCGCTATAACCCGGAACACACACACACCCCGTTATAACGCGGAACACACACACACCCCGTTATAAACGCGGAACACACACACACACACACACCGTTATAAACCCGGAACACACACACACCCCGTTATAAACGCGGAACACACACACACCCCGTTATAGACGCGGAACACACACACACACACACCCCGTTATAAACGCGGAACACACACACACACACACCGTTATAAACGCGGAACACACACACACACACCCACCCCGTTATAAACGCGGAACACACACACACACACCCACCCCGTTATAAACACGGAACACACACACACCCCGTTATAAACAGAGAACACACACCGTTATAAACACGGAACACACACCGTTATAAACACGGAACACACACCGTTATAAACACGGAACACACACCATTATACACACAGAACACACACCATTATACACACAGAACACACACCGTTATAAACACAGAACACACACCGTTATAAACACGGAACACACACCGTTATAAACACGGAACACACACCGTTATAAACACAACACACACCGTTATAAACACGGAACACACACCGTTATAAACACGGAACACACACCGTTATAAACACGGAACACACACCGTTATAAACACGGAACACACACCGTTATAAACACGGAACACACACCGTTATAAACACAACACACACCGTTATAAACACGGAACACACACCGTTATAAACACGGAACACACACCGTTATAAACACGGAACACACACCGTTATAAACACAACACACACCATTATAAACACAACACACACCATTATAAACACAGAACACACACCGTTATAAACACGGAACACACACACCGTTATAAACACAGAACACACACCATTATACACACAGAACACACACCGTTATAAACACAGAACACACACCGTTATAAACAACACACACCGTTATAAACACGGAACACACACCGTTATAAACACGGAACACACACCGTTATAAACACGGAACACACACCGTTATAAACACAACACACACCGTTATAAACACAACACACACCGTTATAAACACAGAACACACACCGTTATAAACACAGAACACACACCGTTATAAACACGGAACACACACCGTTATAAACACGGAACACACACCATTATACACACAGAACACACACCGTTATAAACACAGAACACACACACCATTAGAAACACAGAACACACACCATTATAAACACAACACACACCGTTATACACACAGAACACACACCATTATAAACACAACACACACCGTTATAAACACGGAACACACACCGTTATAAACACGGAACACACACCGTTATAAACACAACACACACCGTTATAACCACAGAACACACACACCGTTATAAACACGGAACACACACCGTTATAAACACAGAACACACACCGTTATAAACACAACACACACCATTATAAACACAGAACACACACCATTATAAACACAGAATACACACCATTATAAACACAGAACACACACCGTTATAAACACAGAACACACACCGTTATAAACACAGAACACACACCGTCATAAACACGGAACACACACCGTTATAAACACGGAACACACACCGTTATAAACACAACACACACCGTTATAAACACAGAACACACACCGTTATAAACACGGAACACACACCGTTATAAACACAACACACACCATTATAAACACCGAACACACACCGTTATAAACACAGAACACACACACCGTTATAAACACAGAACACACACCGTTATAAACACAGAACACACACCGTTATAAACACAGAACACACACCATTATACACACAGAACACACACCGTTATAAACACGGAACACACACCGTTATAAACACGGAACACACACCGTTATAAACACGGAACACACACCATTATAAACACAACACACACCGTTATAACCCGAGACGCAGCCCGCTCTCCTACAACGCGGCGGTAGTAGCTCCGTTCCCGAAGAACGTCGCTCGCGAGATGCGTAAACGCAGGGCCGAACAAACAGACCGAGACGCGCGCGCGTGTGCAAGCGTGTCCAGAAGCTTCCGGCAGCGTCCCGAACGACTCGTTTCTGCGATGGCGCTACGCCGAGGTGGCGGCTGGCTACGGCCGCTCATTCCTACTCGCGTGGGTGGGGTAGCTGCGTCCACTCGACCGCGTTGGGTCATCCACACTCTCTCGGTGCTTTCGGTGAAGTCACGTAGATGGGGGGGGGAAAAAAAAAGAATAATGGACGAAAACACGACGTTTCGGTCGCGACACAAGCGGCCGTCTTGCGTCGACTTCACCGCAAGAACCGAGAGCGTGCGTGGACACTCCTGCAGTCACGGAAAGCTTCAAATCAAAACTGCGTCGTCCAATTCGCGAGATGCGTAGCGCAGGGCCGGACGAGACACCGAGGCGCGCGTGGGTTAGGGTCTGGAACGTTGGTCTACAACCTCCGCTGCAGCCGTGCACCCCCCCCCCCCACTTTGGTTCTCAATCGTTAAAACGTCAATCAATCAAACTTCATATCCATAGCAATAACACCGAAATTGTGTTCTTAGTTCTTTCGGTAAAGTCACGTTGAAGGGAAACAATAATATAAAGTATATATATAAAACAATAAAAATTATCACGACGTTTCGACCGTAACACACCTGAAGACGACCGTTTGTGTTATGGTCGAAACGTCGTGAGAATTTGTATTGTTTTATATATATTTTATTATTTTATTGGTTCCCTTCAACGTGACTTTACCGAAAGAACTAAGAATATGAATTACTGCAGTCACGAAAGCTTTAAATCAAAACTGAAATTGTAGGCAAAATAATAAACAGAACACATTAAGAAAATCCAAATTAAAAGCAAGCTGAAAAAGGTAAAGTTTTTAGATTTATTTTAAGAGCGCTTAATGATTCTGTTAATAAATATATAGGGTTTGATGAAAGTAAGTAGTTCATAATAAAGGTTTTTGGGTTAGATCGCGTTATTTATAAATGTGTCGTAACCCTCCACCACCCGACACGGCCAATCAGCAAAAAAAAGTGTCACGTTGACAAAAGACAAATAGTTCACTACTTTAGCCCACCAGTGTGTTGAAGAGTGAATCCACAACATTTACAGTTTGAATACATGTTACAATTCCTTATAGGGGAAACACATACTAATTAACGGATTACTAACGTAGCATATATTCACAATAACACACATTACAACTCATTACTAATCAATCTATGACTGATTACCAATCGATTACATAATTACTGCACCTGAAATGAGTTAAATGATATCACCCTGCTGCTCAATTTAGACCGGGAGCAAGCGAGGGCTTTACCATTCTGGCGAATTGCCCGATGATGCTGGATGTAATTACCAGCGAAACGTCGTACTCAAACTGTAAATATTGTGGATTCACTCTTCAACACACCGGTGGGCTAAAGTAGTGAACTATTTTGTCTTTGTTCAACTTTTTTTGCTGATTGGCCGTGTCGGGTGGTGGAGGGTTACGCCACATTTATAAACAACGCGATCTAACCCAAAAACCTTTATTATGAATAACATTGGTCGCGAAAGCCTACGTGTTCAACTGAAAGTAAGCAAGTTGTAACTTACGTGCCCGTGATCAATTTGTGTTTCGATTATTTACCTTCTAAAAAAAATAATCTGGCCATGTATCGCCAACCCCGCCTCCCCCCCCCCACCCCCGCAGAAATGGCATCTCGCACCCCCAGGGGGTGCCTGACGCACCCCAGGTTAAGAAGAGCCGCTGTTCTAGAAGCATCCGGCAGCATCTCGATGCCGTGTTGTGCGATGACGCCGAGCCGAGGCGACCGCGACAACCGCTCATCCCTTCTCGCGCGACGTCGCTCCGTTCACTCGAACGCGCTGCACCATCCATTTCGCGTCCGCGTTATCAAGAATGCGTTCCCCGATGCGCTGGGCACGTTGCATCGCCCAATTGGCGATGCGGAAACGACGCGGCGCTCCAGGAGAACAAAAAATGGGCCTTCTCATTTTGTTTCGTGCGACCCCTGGTCTGGCTTGACACCGAGGGCCGGTGGAGTGCGGACAACACAAGAGCGGAGTGGGCCTCACCTTGTCTCTCCTCATCTTGTCCGCAAGAGACGACGTCTTCGCGTCCGCGTTAGCCTCCTCCTCGTTGCCGTCTACGACGAGAGAATGCGTACGCACGTCATCATCGTCGTCATCACGCTCTCATCATCATTATCACCACCAGCCCCCTCTCTCATCACCACCACCCACCCCCCCCTACCTCGTCACCATCACCACCCCCTACCTCGTCACCATCACCACCCCCTACCTCGTCACCATCACCACCCCCTCTCATCACCATCACCATCACCACCCCCTCTCATCACCCCCTCTCATCACCATCACCACCCCCTCTCATCACCTTCACCACCCCTCTCTCATCACCACCACCCCCCCCCTCTCATCACCATCACCACCCCCTCTCATCACCCCCTCTCATCACCACCCCCTCTCATCACCATCACCAACCCCTCTCATCACCATCACCACCCCCTCTCATCAGCTTCACCACCCCCTCATAATGACCACCAGCCTCTCATCACCACCACCACCACCACTACCCTCTCATCATCATTACCATCACCCTCATCAGAATCATCATCATCACCACCACAATCTCATCATCATCATCATTACCACCACCCTCTCATCAAAATGATCATCATCACCATCAGCATTTTATCATCCCCACCACCACCCTCTCATCATTATCACCACCACCATCCTCCTCGCCCTCCTCTCTGCCTGCCGCTCATCTCGTGCCGTGACCCCTCTCCCCCTCACCGTCCCCCCCAGCCCCCCAACTCAGCTTTGTCCATCTTGGGGAATTCCGTCCAGGAATCCCATCCCATATTCCGTTCTCGATTCCTCATTCATTACCATCCATGATTGACTCTGCTCACCCTTTCCCATGGTGCGCCAAAGGTAATAAGTTTTAATATTATGATTATCATAATCACGACTTGCACTGCTTAAAATACATAGTGTGTGTGTGTGCACGCAGCTGCATATATAACGTAAAAAAATCCAATTAAGAAAACGGCACCATCTCTTATTGAACTTCGCAGTAGTAGTAGTAGTCAGTACAATAACACCATAAACCTACACGATTAGCTTTTATCTTTTTAGTGCAAATAAAGAACTTTAAGGCCACTTAAATCCGAGCAGATTGGGCTTGTTTACACGATACGGGGCGCGCGAGTGCCATAAAACCCCGGCAATTGGCACACCGGCACGCACGGCAGCGCGGCCAGACCAGCAGAAAGAACCATGCATATATACCACCTTGTCCTCATGATGATTAACAATCATAATCATCGTTATTTCAAGCAGCCGCGGTCGATCGGCTGCTGGATGAAGGCCCTCCACTTCCCCCGATCCCACCGGCACCTCCACTTTTGCACGCCACGCGCTAAAAACTAAACAATAAACTTCGTTTGTTTTTTTACCAGGTGTAAGAGACCCAACACTGAGCACTTTGTCATAAGCGACCTGGCCACCACAAATAGAAGATCAAAGAGGTGGCTTATCATCATCAAGTGGATTTTTTTTACAGCGCCGGCCAAGTAACTCTAAAACCCGTGGTGACGTTGACTCAAAACGTGGAGGGGAAAAACTGGAGGACCCGGAGAAAAATCCACGCGACCACGGGGAGAGAGAGAGACACGCACACTCCAAATATACAGCAGCAGGCATCGTCAGGGTCGGAATCAAACCCACGATCTCCTGTATACCAGGCGAGGTAGTTAACATCTCACCACGGGGAGAGAGACACGCACACTCCAAATATACAGCAGACATCGTCAGGATCGGAATCAAACCCACGACCTCCTGTATACCGGGCGAGGCAGTTAACATCTCACCACGGGGAGAGAGACACGCACACTCCAAATATACAGCAGACATCGTCAGGATCGGAATCAAACCCACGACCTCCTGTATACCGGGCGAGGCAGTTAACATCTCACCACGGGGAGAGAGACACGCAAACTCCAAATATACAGCAGACATCGTCAGGGTCAGGATCGAACCCAGGATCTCCTGTAGACCAGGTGAGGTAGTTAACATCTCCTAGCCACCGTGGTTGATTTCATTGTCACTCCATCTCCTCCCCAGACAGTCCTCACCGACATTGGCTGGAGTTATAAAATCGAATTCAGGTCATCGCTGGGTACGTAGCGGAAATGCACTAACCAGGACGCCACCGCTCCACCCCAGGGCTTAGCTCAACTTATTTTGCTTACACAAAGACAATGTTACTCCGTGTAGCCTTAATAAACTGTTGGGGCAAGTGCTGTTAGCGAGCAGCACCTATGAAGGCCTGCATTGCACACAAGGGGGTGGGTGGCCAGCACCACGCCCGACCGCCTTTGTTTCCCTAGTGGCGATGTTTACGACACACCGCACCAGGTACTCATTTGAGGAGGAGTCGGCCTAGGGGAGGCCCAGGACCGGTTCAGATAATCGTCACTGGTGGTGGCCGTACGTGGGAATTGAACCCGGGCCACCAGTTTCGCAGGGCAGCATGCTAACTGCTACACTACTGCTCCCTTACACACACGCAACAACAACAACCGCCATTTGCACATAGCCTGGCACAAGCGTCGCGGTGACGTCACCACGACGCTTGTGCCAGGCTATGTGCACCCTGAGGCCACGTGAAGTGTCGAACGCCCGCTGGCAGGAGGTCACGGGGCAGACCCAGGTGCCACGGGTCGACTGACTGAGATGACTGGCTGATGCACCACCTGTGCCCACCTACTGTGCCAACCTGATGTGCTTTAGCCACCCGGCGCTCCGCTCGTTGTTCTGAGCATCGCTCCTCCGCCCTCCGTTGTTGTTGGAGGGCGACTACCTCCAACTGCCCAGTAGCGTCCTTCACGAGCCTCCTCCACAAAGGGCGATCTTGACACCGCTGGTACCAGTCATCAGCAAGTCCACTCAGCTCCACGTCCTCCTGTACCACATCACTCCATCTCTTCTCTAGCCCGTGCCGCGCCCGCTTAGCCCCCTCAATCCGGCCGAACAAAAGCTGTTTTGGCATGCGGTGGCTGGGCATGCGGGCTACATGACCCAGCCAACGCAGCCTTCCCCGCCGGAGGAGCTCACCGATGGAACCTTGCCCAGATCTTTCAAGGATTTGTGAGCTCCTCACACAATCCAGTCTGGTTAAACCCAGGATGGATCGTAGGCAGGCCAGCCTAAATGTTTCTAACCGGCGAAGATGTTCCATTCGGGGGGTCCACGTTTCGCAAGCGTAGAGAAGGGAGGGAATGACCGTGGCCGAGAAGACCTGAAGCTTAGTGCGGAGCGACAGACCAGGTAGCTTCCACACAGCATTACGCAACCGATGAAAAGATATTGCCGCTCGACTGATTCGGAGTGAGACCTCTGCTGTTAAACTGGAGCCAGTCATAAGCACACTGCCCAGGTATGGGAAACTCTCCACTCTCTCCACAACTGCCCCATCACCAATTGGGAGTTGTGGGGGTGGAGTGTCTGATGGTACAAAATACCCAGGCAGGTGCTTAGTTTTGGTGGGGCTGATGGTAAGGCCCCACCTCTTAGTGGCACGCTCCAGTCTCAGCAGCAGCGTCTCCAACTCCTCCTCTGAATGAGCAGCTATTACCAAATCATCAGCATACATAACGTGGTTGAGCAATAGGGAGCCATCCCTTGACCGCACCCGGGCATCGATCAGCCTCCCATTATATCTGTACCATATTGAGATTCCCCCGGTACAGCTATTGAAGGCTTCACGAACTACGTGGTCAAAATAGATGTTAAATAATGTGGGAGCCAGAGGACATCCCTGTCGCACCCCAAGGTGTACAGGGAATGGCTCTGACTCCCAGCCACGTAGTTTTACCCGGGCCCGCTCACCATCATAAAGGTCCTTAATGATCGTGAGCAGAGGGTCAGGTACTCCAAAAGCACGAAGAACCCAGAGCCCAGGCCTACTGATGGTATCATAGGCCTTGACCAGGTCAATAAAGCAGAGATGTAGGTCTTGTTGGAATTCCCTACACCTCTGCTGTAGCAGACAGACAGAAAATATGGCATTCTGTGCAGGACTGCCCTTTCCTGAAACCGCATTGGGGCTCCGCAAGCCTCTCCTCAGCGTGCCTGGCAAGGCGATGTTGAATAATCCTTGCCAGGACCTTTCACGGCACACTGAGGAGTGAGATGCCCCTGTAGTTGTTACAGTCTGTGCGGTCCCCCTTCTTAAAAAGGGGGACCACCAGGGCATCCTTCCAATCCTGCGGAACCCGTCCAGTGGTCCACACTGTTATGATGTCATATAGGGCAGTCTGTGCACAAACGCCGCCCTCCCTCAGCATTTCGCTTGGGAGATCATCTCTGCCCGCTGCCTTTCCTGGTCTCAGACTCTGGATCGCCTTCAGTACTTCCTCAACAGATGGCACCTCAGCCAACCACTCACAGGGGGTGACTTCTTCCAATATTTGAGGCACCGCAGGCTCAGCAGGATCATCCTCACTTTGTGCCGCGATGTTTTCCTGCCTGAGGGATTTTCCCTCCCCCAGGACCTCACAGAAATGCTCGGCAAATCTGCAAACCTGTTCCTGGGGGTCGGAGATTGGGTCACCGTTTTTTCCCCTAATGATGGTAATAGGTGTGGCGCTGCAGATTACTTTTTGATGGAGTTAAATAGAGATTTGTGATCACGGGCCACTGAGGCAGACTCCATCTCCTCAGCAACCCGCGACCACCACCCATCCTTGCAGCGCCTCACGGCTCTCCGAACCTCCTAGCGAAGGCTGCGGTAAGTCTCCTCATTCTCTGACGTGGGATTCTGTAGCCGATGACAGTGAGCCTGTCGCTTTTTCTCAACCATCCTGAACACCTCCTCTGTCAGCCAGGGTCTCTGTGGAGGTCTGGACCACGTACAGAAAGCAGCCATTGCAGCTGCATGAGTCACAGTCCTAAACCTCGCCCATTTACCGTCGACATCAGGAGGAGTCGGGGACGATGCCAATCCCAGCCGCAAGCGATGATGAAATTCTCGCTTGCAACTTTCATCAGATAACTGAGACCAGGCCACTTTAGGTTGGAATGGGGTCATGGGTATACACCCACCACCGGAGTAGAAGAA